TTCCGATGGTGGTTTATCAGCCTAAAACTGAAAGAGTTATTTGGTTGAGTTTATTATTAGTGAGTTTAGTTAGTATTGGAAGTTTAGTGGTGAAGTTAAAAAGCAGAAGGTCAAAGAAGTAATTTAGGGTTGGGGGTTGGTTTAAAAAAGCAGTTTAGGTAATAAACACCGCCAAATAACTTAAAAATTCTATATGTTCGGAATTCAACAAATAAGTAAAGAAATAAATAAAAAAAGCAAACTCGGCAACGAAGAAAATGCCCGCAAAGTTCTAGTAGCCTTTTTAGAAGTAGCTCGGGAAAAACTAAATCAAGGTGAAACCATTAATTTTAAAGGATACTTCGCCCTAAAAAGAAGTTCCACCCCCTCCTCCGGTAATAAAAACTGTGATGAACACCATAAAGAATTAGAGAAGTTTAAACAAGCCAACAAGGGCAAAGGCATTACTGCTTTTACTAAATCCAATGTTTTTCGTAGTTTAGTAGCCAAAACCAGAAATTGTGCTAAATGTAAAGCTAAAAAAGAACAATTAGCTAAAAATGCTAAATTAACTAATCGGATTAATTTCAAACCTAGTAAAGATTTTTGAAAAGTAAGTAAAGTTGCTAAGAAAGGTAAATAAGTTCTACTTAGCGAGCTATTTTCCAAGCAAACCAGTAAAAATTATTTTATATGAATATAGAATTACCGAGAGCCGCAAATTTCGATGATTAATTTATAAGCCTTCTAAAAAATACTAGCCAACTATTCTCTCTCATACTTCTCCAAAACTCTATAATCTAAAATTCATGTAATTTTACTTCGTTCTTCTCATTCTTTCCATTTTTTTTGAATATAAAGCCTACCTTGTTCCCCGGTTCATTTATTAACTTTAAGCAAGTGGTTAAAGGCTTCTTGGTGTTTGCCAATAATTGCCGCATAACCCATGTGTTGGGCTAAATGACATGATCGGCAAATGGCTTCTAATCTAACTAAGATTTGTTTATTGCCTTTATAGTCTCAGACTTCGTTACAGTCTAAACGAACATTTTTAAGGTCACAAATTTCACAAGTATAATTAGCTTGTTGGTAGACTTTTTTGCGAATTAGGTCTCATTGACTTTTACTGATTTCACTCCGGACATTTTTTCATCAGGAGGTGGAGGGGATAAGGTTGAGAGGAAGTTTAGTTGGTTCCATGGTTGTTGTTTTCTCCCTAGATAAAATACTAAATCGGCTTAAATTTAACTAAATTACTTAAATCACTATCTTTAATATAAAGAGCCGTAGTAGATATTTTACTATGACCTAAAACTTTTTGTAAAACAGGTAAAGGCATACCATTTAGGGCATTATAAGTAGCAAAACACCTTCTTAAAGTATGGGGAGCTAATTCAATATTTTCGGCAATATCTAATTCTTTTTTTATTTGTTTTAAAAAAGCAAAAAAAACTATGCGATTAGCACTATTAGGTTTTCAAGTTCTTTTTTTTAACTCTTTAATAATTTCCGGAGAAAGGTAAACTCACCTTTCTTTTTGTCTTTTGCCGCGCAATAAATATAAGCCTTTGTATTCGGTTTCCCCGTGTTCTAAATTTAAATCAAAACTAATGGCTTCGGTAATTCTTAAACCAGCTTTTCAGCAAAGGAGAAATAAACATTCGTGTTGGTCTTTTTTGCTTTCACCCTTTTTATTTGGACGAGCAATTAAATAATCTCAAACTTGTTGGAGGAGTTGATTGGTGGGGAGGATGGTGAGGGATTTTTTAATTTTTATCATAATCATAAATATCTTTGCGATGACCTACTTTCACCACTAAGATTAAAAGTTTAGTCTGCTTTATTTCGTAAATAACTCGGTATTCACTGAAACGGTATCTCCACTTACCTTTCAGATTACCAGTTAAGGGTTTTCCGTATTCAGTAGGATTTTTCGCCAAGAAACTTTCTACCCTACTAGTAATTTTTTTCGCCATTAATTGGTCAATTTTCTTTAAACTCTCTTTGGCCTTGTCCTCTCATTCTACCTTATACATTTATCTCTTTAAATTTAAATGTTCTAATAATTCCTTAGTAGTATAAGTTTTACCTTCTTTTTTAGCATCTTTCTTTAAAAACTCGGCTACATCCTCGGCATCTTCCAAATATCTAATTAAGGCTTCTTGGATAATAAAATCTTTGCTCCGTTTACTAGCGACCTCTAAATAAATAAGATGTTGCTCCAATTTTTTAGGTAATTTAAGTTTAATGATTAATTTTTTTTGTTCTTCAATACCACTTTGGGTTTCTGTTTTTTTTCTTTTGGCAGTCATATTTATTATTTTTAACCTTTTAACTATTATTTATTACTTTTTATTCTGAATTAGTTATATTAAGATAATTGTTTTCTTTCTTTTTACTACATAATGAACCATTTTGTTATAAAAACATAATATAAAGATAAATAAACCAATTATTTTAAAAATTACTTAGAGGTAATTAATGAAAGGAAAAACAAAGCCTACCAGGGCAAAATAATGAATAAAAGAACCCAATTTATTGAAAGAGACACCGAAACTTTGATTGATAAAAAACTGCAAGAATTGGGTTGAATTGAAGATATTCACAGTGCTAAAAGAAATGTTTGGAAGCAGCAGCCAGCCACCGAAGAACAAAGAAAAAGATTAAAAGGTAAGCGAGCTGATTATATGCTTTATCAATCCGGAACCACTAATCCCTTAATCGTTATTGAAGCCAAAAGACCTAGCGAAGACATTCAGCAAGCATTAGAGCAAGGAATTGATTACGCTAAAAGTATTGAAGCCCCTTTGGTTATTGCTACTAATGGCGAATTTACCAAAGCTTATCATGTTAATTTTAAGAAAACTTTAACTTTTAATGGCGAAGAAGTAAAAGATTTTTTTACTGAACAAGAAGCTTTAAGATTTATTGAACAACCTCATTTAATTACCCAAGAAAATAAAGTTGTTTTATCCCGCCGCGAACTAATTAAAATCTTTGCTGAGGCCAATGATTTATTAAGAAAGGAAGGTTTTCAAGCTGGCGATGAGAGATTTAGTGAATTTGCTAATATCCTTTTTTTGAAAATAATTGGAGAGATTGAAGAAAGCAAAGAAAAAACTCCGGTGGAAAAAAGACATTTATGAAACTCATGAGCCACTGAAAAAGGCGATAATTTAAAAAGTCGGATGGATAATGCTTTGGAACATTTTCGGCAAAAATACCAAGAAGGTGAATTATTTTCGGTTAGCAGAATTGAAAATGCTAAAACTTTGGAAGCCATAGTGGCTAAACTTAATCCTTTGTCTTTGGTAGAGACGGAAAGAGAAATCAAAGGAGAAGCTTTTGAATATTTTTTACAACGGTATAATGCCGGGGAAAAAGATTTAGGAGAATATTTTACTCCGCGACATGTTATTCGTAATCTAGTAAACATTTTACAACCCCGTTTTAAAGAGAAAGTTTATGACCC